GGTAACACAAGATTTAGCAGTTTCTACATTAAAGGATCGGAGGGATTGGAATATGATATTCCAGAGGGCAAAAGAGCTAGGGTTACAAGCAAGAATCACCTACCCAGCAAAACTGAGTATAATCCTTCGGGAGAAAAAATAAACATTCAATTAATTAAAGGACTTTCAAGTACTCCTGATGGAAAAGACCAGAGCTGAATAGAAAATTTGACTTTCAAATATAAGATGCAAAAGAAGTATAAAAGGTAAACCGGAAAGAGAAATCATAAGAGATTCAATAAGGTTAAACTGTTTACATTACTACTTGGAAAACTATATTTTTAACTCCTAAAAACTTTCTTTTCATTAGGGCAATTAGGAGCATACATAGATAAAGGGCATGGATGTGAGTTGAATATAATGGGCTGATTATTCAAAAAATAAAATAAAATTAAGGAATGACAAAGAAGAATGCACTAGGAGAAGAAGAAAAGGAGAGGTAGTATTGGGCAAATTATCTGACATAAAAGAGGCATGAAAGAGTTTTCACAATGAAGGATAAGAGGGGGGATGTGGGAGGCAGGAGCGCACGAACCTTACTCTCATTGGAATTGGCTCAAAGAGGGAATAACACATACTCAGCTGGGTGTAGAAATCTATCTTACCATATAGGAAAGAAGGAGGGGAAGGGGGTAAGAGAAGGAAGGGGGAGATGGTAGAAGTGAGGGCAGACTGAGGGAGGTAAAAGTCAAAAGCAAAACACTTTTGAGAATGAACAGGATGAAAGGAGAAAGAGAGTAAAATAAACGGGGGAAAATAGGATGGAGAGAAATAGTAATCATTACTATGAAAAAAATTTTAAGCAAGTTTCTCTGATAAAGACCTCGATGCTCAAATATAAAGAGAACTGAGTCAAATTTATAGAAATAAGAACCACTTCTCAACTGATAAATGGTCAAAGTATGTGAACAAGCAGTTTTCAAACAAAGTTATCAAAGCTATCTATAGTCATGTGAGAAAAATGCTCTAAATTACTACTGATGAGAGAAATGCAAATTAAAGCAACTCTGAGGTAGCGCCTCATACTTATCAGATTGGCTAACATGATAGGAAAGAAAAATGATAAATGTTGGAGGGGATGTGAGAAAATTAAAACACTAGTGCACTGTTCATGAAGTTGTATAATGATTCAACCATTCTGGAAAGCAATTTGGAACTACATCCAAAGGACTATAAAAGCATGTGTGCCCTTTAACTCAGCAATACCACTACTAGGTCTGTATCCCAAAGAGATCAAAGAAAAAGGAAAGGGATCTATATGTACAAAAATATTTATAGCAGTTCTTTTTGTGGTAGCAAAGAATTGAAAATCAAGGGGATGCCCATCAATTGGGGAACGGCTGAACGAAGTGTTGTATATGATTGTGATGAAATAATATTTTGCTATAAAAAATGACAAGCAGGATGCTCTCTGATAAACCTCGAAATATTAACATGCAAAGTGAAATCAGCAGAACCAGGAGAACATTGTACACAGCAACAGCAATACTGTACAATGATCAACCGTTAATGACAGATATTCTCAGCAATACAACGATCCAAGACATTCTGAAGGACTTATGATGAAAGGTGCTATCCATTTCTAGAGAAAGAAATGGTAGAACCTGATCGAAGGATACTTCTTTACTTTCTTTAATTTTCTTGAGGGTTTTTTTTTTGGTCTGTGTTTTTTTTCACAGTATAATTTACATGGAAATGTGTTTTCCATGACTACACATGTATAACCTATGACAAATTTGCTTGCCTTCCCAATGAGGGGGAGGGAAGAGAGAGAAAAAATTTAAAACCCAAAATTCGGAGAGAAAAAAAAGAATGTTAAAATTGTTTTTATAGGTAACTGGAGGAAAAAATAAAATATTAAATTTTTTAAAGAATTGATAAAAAAAAATTCCTTCCAAAAAAACTTTAGACAAAAAAATTTAATTTAAAAATTAGAGAACAAACTTCTCTAAAATTACAAAAATACTGCATACTAAAGTTATCAGATCTAAAAAGGATTTTTAGGAAATAGAACACAGTATCACAAAATATTGAATGTTATATTAGAAAAGAACCTTAGAACACAGAATGTCAAAGCTGGAAGGGAATTTAGAGAACATCTGATCTACCTCATCCCAAATTCCCATTCATTTTACAACGGAGGAAACTAAGGCCTAGGGAATGACTGGCCCAAACTTGTGCAGATAGTGAGTGGCACAGCTAAGATCTGAATCTAAGACTATCCCACAATCTTGTAACTTAACCAAGGTCACACAGCAAAATGGGATAAGAACTCGTGTCTTTTATATGAACCAATGCAGAATGAAACAAGGAGAACCAGGAAAATAATATATACAATGACTATCACAATACAAATGGAAGCAACACAGCAACAACAATAATCCCTGAATGCTGTATAATTATAATTATTAAGAAGCTTGACTTAGAGAACAGTAAAATGCTGCCCCCTAACTTCTTTTTAGGAGTGAGGGACTCTATTGCATATTCTTTCAGGTTCCATCGATATTTAACTTGGTTTGTTGAATGACTTTTGTTTCTCTCTTTTTTATTCTTTATTATAGTTTGCTAGGTTCAGTAGAAGGGAGCAATATATTCAGAAATAGTTGACGTAAAAACAACATTTATTAATACAATTATATATGTATTTGCCAAAAAAAAACCTCACGTCTTCCAACTCTCAAGTCAGTACTCATTCTATTATATCATTTCAAAAATGACAATTAAAAAATCTCAAACCACTTCAAACTTTGTAGCTAGGTAGTCATTCACCATAATAAAGGGCCAGCATTTTAACGGAAAAGACGAAGAACATATGAAACAGATTTGGAGGGAGGCAAATTTTAAAAGTTTATGTTTTAAGATAGCAATGGAAAGGGGGAGGGTATCAAACTAAATTAAATCTGTCTAGGAGAAAACCTCAGAATGTGCTCATTTCTCTGAATCAATGGCAAACTGAACATGAGACCATCAAAGAGAAATGTCAAGGCAGGTTTACAGGGATTAAAAAACTTGAGAAATACAATCTCTTTGCCGAGTGCTACAGATAGTTTTCAGATGTCACCACAAAATGACTATCTGCCCCACGGTCTCAATTGCTACATTCTAGAGTGTTTTAGTCTGAAAGCACTCTTCAATGTTTAACACATGGGCATTAACCCAAATGTAGGATGTTGTAGCAGAAAGAACAGTGAACTTGGAGTTGGAAGACCTGGGATTGAATGAGTTCCATTTGCTGTGTGACCCTGTTTAAGTTAACTTTTCTGAGCTTGTTTCCCTGTCTATAAAAATGAAAAGACTAGATTCTATCATTTCCAAAGTCTGTTCCAATTCTAACATTCTGTGAATATTTGTAAAAATATAGTGTGACCAATTCTTAATTATGATACTAATCCTGGCCAACCATTCTGCACTCTTTGTCAGGAGAATAGGCAAAATGTAAAAGATTCAGATGGACCATATTTACCCTTGCCCTTTTTCCCTTTCCTAATTCCTTCCCTGTTCACACAGAGGTTTCTCTAAATCTTACCCAGGTAGACTCCTTCAAATAGTGCAACAGATCTGTGATTTCATCAGTGGGATTACTCTTTCCACCAATACAATTAGCAACCCTTCCAAATGTTAGTAGGCAGGTTCATGAACTGCTGAAGCTGAAAAAAGTTCATCTTCTGATGGCCAATATTCTGGTGATGAGTCTCTCTAGACTCAGCTAACCTGGTCTTTCTATAACAGACACACAGTTCATCCCTGTGTACTTAAAGTCTTCAGCCAGGGAGGTCCTGTCAGAGCTTACTCTCTGCTGGCCTGGCCTCTGGGAACCCACCAGGGTCATTTTCATAACAAGAATGAGAATAATTTAGTGGAGAGCCAGAGGGACAAAGGATTAAAAGGTGGGTTGTGGGGAGAAAACAGCTAGTCCACACCTGTCGCAATCCACTGGGTCTAGCTGCTTCTAATCCACTAAATCTGCCTTCCTCTTACTTCCCCTGAGCTGGAGGTGCAGGAGATGAGGCTGTTACCTAAAACCCTGTGGGAAGACTGGAGAAGGGAGTTAGGCCTAAAACAACGGCCTACATCCTTCCCCACCCAAACACTTCCCCCAACCCAAAGGCCTCCAAATCTGAAATGTGAAAAGAAAATTCTAAATTTCAACATTACCTATCACTTATAAATCATTTCTCTCCTACTTCCTAACTTTCTCTCACAGACAACCTAGTTTAAAGTATTTTTTTATGCAAAACATCAACGTACTTAAGAGAAAAAGTGTTAAAACATAGGGGCAATTAACATTGCCACTGACTGAGGTATAACTCTTAGTGAGACCCTACCTTCTGCGTGTTAGAGGTAAGAATTTTAAAGACAGATGAAGTTTTGTAAGGTTAACAGAAAGACACTCAGATTCCTATATAATCACACTCTACCCACTTGATCATGCTCAACAAATATTTGTTGAGTGAATAAATTAATATAAAAATAGCCCTTAAAGTTAAATTAATAATGCCATGAAGTGCCTTCCTCTTCTTGCCCCCCACCCCCCCCTTTCTTCTGAGAGTGGGTCTCCCTCTCATACAAGGAGGAAGTACAACAGCTACTCAAAAGGCCAGATCCCACTGGTGACCAGCACAGAAATTTTGACCTGTTTCATTTCCAGCCTGGGCTAGTTCACCTCTTAAGCCAACTTAGTATGCTCCCCCCACCAAAAATACCTTCCCGGGGTTCACGACTTTGCCAGACTTAGTGTGAACACCCAATCAGCTTAAGCTCTAGTGTAAGTTATTGAGGACTCCTGAGCTTGAACAATCCACCAGCCTTCCCCTCAACAGCAAGGATTATTGGGCCACCACACCTGACCTTCTTTCCTTTTTCAAAAGGACAAAAACCAGATGTTAAAATTATCATGAGATGTCTGACTTCTATCTCCTAATAACAAGTGTGTAAAAAGAGAAGGCAAAGCACTCCCATACTTTTCTCCTGTGTACACTCGGGCTCTTCGGTGGAGAGAGTAGTTTTTCATATTGGCTCCTTTCCTGAGGGGATCATCAAGAGGTGACTGGTATGGAGCATCCTCCAGAGGATTCCAGTAGCTCTGTTCACACATACCCCTTAACAAAATTTCTGCTAACTGCCTGGCTATCGTCTGTGGATGAAACAGAAAACAAACATTGGTAATTCTACACTGACATTTTGGCTTACAACAGAAACTTGCTCCTAATAACAGTGACAGTGTTACAGTTTAAAAAGCACTTTAAATACGTCATTCCATTTGCTCTTAACAACCCATAGGAAATGGATAGTGCCAAGTATTATTCCCAGTGCACAGGTGAGAAAACTAAGTCTCATAAAGGTTAACTTATAATGTAGAATGTTAAGCTCCCTGAAGGCAGGGACTATTTTGGTTTTTGTCTTTGTATTCCAGGCACTTAGCATAGTGCTAAACAGAACAGGTGCTTAACAACTGCTTGTTGAATTGAACTGCATTGAACTGCCCAAAGCCACACAGCCAGTGACAAAGCCAGGACAGACTACAGATCCTTTTTGGTTGCCCAGTGGGCTCCCAATAATTTTTTTTTTGTAATAATAGTATCACCAGGCTTCTATTGATCCAATCAGTGATTGCTTTTATAAAGATAGTTCTGGAATGGAATTGGTCATCACCATTAAGTGGACTTGTACCTTTTAACATTTTAAGCATAACACAGCACAAAACCCAACAAGAGTTCCCACTGCACTGGCTGGAAAATCCATCAAAAGCTCAGAGGGATCATCACAACCTGATACCTACTTTTTAAGACACAATGGAGGATTTTCACCATTGCTGTTCTCACTTATCCCTGAATAAGCTGATGCTCCTTCTTCCTACTATCACTCCATACATTTGAGGGCATTGTTTGAACCTTACATAACTTATTTATAATAAATGAAATAAAAAAGTTTCCAAGTTCGTTTCTCAAGCTATCGACAAATGAGAAGGGAAATGCAAGTGTTTTCTCATCAAGTACAAACGAAAGTGTTGCCAAATTAACCTCCTTTATGCACAGTCAGGGTGAGCTTATTACCTCTACTCAGAAATCCTCAGCGGCTTTCTGTGCCTACTAGATAATGTTCAGACTACTTGTTTGGCAATCAAGGCCCTTCACAATGTAGCACCATCCATTCCCTGAGTTATTTCACATTATTCTCTATATTTGTCCCTCAAATATTCTGTGCTTTCCCACCTCTGACAATGTATTCACACACACTCCTGCCTAGACTAACCTCTAGCCCTAGCGCCTAGTGCATTCTAACCCATTCTTTAAAGCCCAGCTCAGACCCCTCTTCCAGAAAGATTTTCCTGATATCCTGTAAATAACAATCAATTTTCTTTCAACAAACACGTATTAAGCACCTATTATGTACAAGGCACCTTGATAGGTGATATGGATACAACGACAAAATGAAAAATGACAGTCTCATAGCACTTTGCTTTGTACTTCTCAAATGTGCTTCCCATGTATTATTTTGTTTCACATACCAAAGGAGTGAGGGAAAAACCTTAGACCTCATTAATACTAAAAAAAATGCAAGAAAAAGAACATGAAAAACTACCATCCTATATGTCTGTTCTCCCATGTTACCGGATCTTTATGAGAGAAATCTATAAATGAACTGAGGGCATTCTCAATGAAGGTAGTAATGGGGAACAAGCAGGCTTTCACAAGAAATAGACAATAGTGGACCACATTACCGAGGAGATACCACAATGTCTCTTCTACAGTAACCTATTTCAATAGTCCGGATGAAAAGTAATAAGCCCTTGGTGGCAGTGTGAGTAGGAAGAAAGAGAAATATGTGAGAGAAACTGCAGATGTAGAATCCATAGGACCTTGTCACACTGGTTTCAGAATAAGAGTCAAAGATGATGTCATGGTTTTGAAGCTGCTACCCATGAGAAGGGTGACAGAAGCAGAGGAAGGTTGAGGGATAAAGATAATGGATTCTATTTTTGTCATGTTGACTTCTAAGTGCTAAAGGGAAAGTCTTCACCATGAAGAGATCATAGGATCAGAGTTTTAAAACGAGTAAGGTCTTTAGAGGTCATCTATGCCATTTCCCTCATTTTACGGATGGAAAAAAACTGAGGTCCTGTGCTTTAGGTATATCCATTTGGCAGCTATATGGAAGAGGGATTAGAATTAAGAGAGACTAGAGGCAAGAAGAGCAATTAGGAGACTATCATAGAGTTTCTCTGATAAAGGTCTCATTTCCATAATATATAAGGAACTGTTTCAATTTATAAGAATAAGAGCCATTTCCCAAGTAATAAATGATTAAAGGATAGGAATAGGCAGTTCTCAATGGAAGAAACAAGACTATCTATAGCCCAATGAAAAAATGCTCCAAATCATTACTAAAGTGAGAAATGCAAATTAAAGAAATTCTGAAATGCCACTCGACACACTTCAGATTGGCAAAGATGACAAACAAGAAAAATGATAAATCTAAGAGGGGATGGGTGAAAACAATTTGGTGGATCTGGGAATGGATATAACCATTCTGGAAAGCAATTTGGAATCATACAAAAAAGTTAATAAAAAGTGCATGTTATTTGACCCAGCAATACCACTGCTAGGCCTAAACTCCCAAAAGATAAAAGAAATAGGAAAAGAGCTCATATGTACAAAAATATTTGTAGCAGCTCTTCCTGAGGTGACAAAAAAACTGGAAACTAAAGGTATATTCATCATTTGAAGACTGGCTGAAAAAGTTGTGGAATGTGAATATAAAAAATATTTTTGTAACTTAAGAAATAAGGAGACATGAATTCAAAGAGGAAAAGATTTATATGAATTAATGTTGAGTGAGGTCAGCAGAACCAGAAGAACAAATTATACCGTAACGCCAATATCATAAAAATGAACAATTGTAAGACTTTTACAAACTGACAGAGAGGAAAGGGAACAAGAATTTATTAAGTGCCTACTATATGCCAGGCATGTGCTAAGCACTTTACAAATATTATCTCTCTGACTGTCACAAAAACCTTACCTGTGAGTACTCCTCACATAGGTACTACTATAAGCTCCATTTTATAATTGAGGAAACTGAGGTGGACAGAGGTTACCTTACTTGACCACAGTCACACGCCTAGTAAGTATTTGAGGCCACATTTGAACTCAAGATTTCCTGACTCCAGGCCGAGCACTCTATCCACTGTGCCATCTGGTTGCATAGGCAAATACTTTATATAATAAGAGAAACACTGTAAAGACAATTTTGAAAGCCTTAAGAACTATACTCAACACAATAATGATCCATGATCCCAAAGAATTAATGATGAAAAAACACTATCAACCTCCTGATAGAGAGGTGAGAGAGAGGTGATACAGGATACAGACTGTCATATATACATACTTATTTGTATACAGCTAATGAGGGAATGTGCTTTGCTTGACTATACAAGGAATTTGTCTTTCTTTTCTTTTTGTCCCATTGGGTAGGGGTAGCAGAGAGCATATACAGATATCTGTTCATCAAAAAAGATTTTTAAAAAATAAAGTTTAGGGGGTTGCTACAGATATGGAATGTTGCCTGCACTTTCAGATAAAGTCACTATATTGTTAGTTTTGCTTAACTATTTTACTTCGCTACAATAGGCATCTCATTGAGTGGGAGTAATTCACAAATGTCTGCAATGCAAAATAAACATATCAATAAAACTTTTAAAAAAGCAAAGAAAAGAAAACTGAGGCCCAAAGATTACATGTTTTGCCCAAGGTCACACCATCACTAAGTGTTAGAGCTAAAATTTGAACCCAAGTCCTATGATGCAAAAGCCAATGCTCTTTCCACTGTCTTATGCTGCAGTGTCCAGCAGGCAGCTGGACATATGGACTGATGCTCAAGGAAGAAATACTAGTTGGACACACAGATATAAAAGTCATCCCCATTGAAGCAATAACTGAAGCCACGTCAATAGATGATATTTTAAGGGTAAGGAATATAAAAAGAAAAGAGGGTTTGGAGCATAACTCTACTGGGCACTCACATATAAATGAATCGATGAGAAAGATTAACCAGTGAAAGCCTGAGAAAGAAAAATGTGATGGGCAGAAAGCAAACTAGGAGAGAGTAGTGTCACACAAGCCAACAAAGAAGGGAGAGGATACTGAGAAGTAAGAGGTGGTCACAGCATCAAATGCTACAAAAAGCTCAAAGAGACTGGGACTCAAGCACACAGGAGAGAGTCAATAAATACTGTTTTAATTAATGAATAAACATGAGTATTTCTTCCCTCTTGAGGTCCTTAAAAGTTATTCATTGTTAAAATACTTAAATGGATCTTACCTTCCCACTCTTGACTATTGGCTCATTCAGAGAAGGACCACATCCTTCAATTTTCTTTGCAAACACAGTAGCTAACACAGTGCCAGGCCCAGGGTATTTGTGGACTGACTAACACATCACTTCAGCCTCTGATACAGCATATTCTACACAGTAGGCATGATGAGATCATGCTGTGTAGTGGAAAAAGCAATAGACTTGGAGTCAGAAGACCTGGGTTCAAGTTCTATCTTTGTCACTCACTAGCTGATGATGCCGAGAACCACTCTAAATTTTTGAGCTTCCGTTTACTCACCTGTAAAATGGAGATAATAATACTTTTACTTACTACTTCACAGGGTTGTTGTAAAAAAAAAAACCTCTTCATAAACCACAATGGGTTATAAAAATGGGAGCTATTGTTGTCTCCAATTCTTGGCTGGAGACTCCCTTCACAGCTCCAGACCAGAATCCCTCCACATCTTTGATGGCTGAGATTCTTGTGCACATCCTTCTTTTAATCTTCCATATGGTATCCACCCAATGTACAGAATGTTTGAAATGAAAAGGCCTTTGGAGACCATCCGTCCAAGGCCTTCATCACTTTACAGATGAGGGAACTAAGGTCTCCAAGCAGAAACTCTACTGGGCACTGAAGACTTTAGAAGACTTTATAGGGATTATCATGATAGAAAATTAAGGGATGATATGAGAGAGCTACTTTCAAGTATCTGAAAGGTTAGATGGGAAATAGTTAAATAGAATAAGTTACACAGACTTGTTCTCCTTGGTTCCAGAAGGGGAAACCAGGACAATGATTAGTACTTGTAGGGAGGC